GTGTAAGGAGAAGGAGCAGGAAGCGGTGAGTCAGGCAGGAGGGGAAGACCGGTAGAAGACGGAAGACTAAGAACCTGGTGAAGGACAGAGTCAGGAGGTGGCAGAGACGACGAAGACGGTGGAGTGAAGAACATGCGCGTCTGTGTAGTTTCACCAGCACCAGCAGCTCCAACACCCACAGCAGCTCCCGCACCTCCAGTAGCTCCACCACCCCCAGCAGCAACTCCTCCAGGACCGTCTCCACCAGCCGCAGCGCCTCCAGAACCAGCACCCCCAGTCGCAACGTCTCCAGGAGGAGGACCCTCAAACACAGCACCACCAGTCCCAGCAGCTCGAGTACCAGCGGTACGAGCACCTCCGGGACCAGCGACGTGGGCACCCCCAGGAGACAACAAACCAGCACCACCCGCAGCTCCAGTGACGTCAGTGGAAGTACCGCCAGGAGCAGGGTCCCGAGCCACAGGAGCGCGACGCTGACGGCGACCGTACCAGTCGCGCAGCTGCTGGGAGGTGAGAGGCACACGCGTACGAAGGCGGCTACTCCAAGGAGACCGCGCAACAGCAGACTCAGAACCCGCAGCGCCAGTGTCCGTAGCAGCTCCAGGACCTCCAGCTCCAGTGGTAGCACCAGCAGCGCCAGAACCTCCAGGCTCAGCACCCCCAGCCCCAGGACCCCCAGGCTCAGCACTCCCAGTCTCAGCACCCCCAGTCTCCGCACCCCCAGGCTCAGCACCCCCAGTCTCAGCACCCCCAGTCACCGCACCCGCAGGCTCAGCACCCCCAGGCTCAGCACCCCCAGCAGTACCACCCGCAGCAGCACCTGAGTCACCTGTGACCTCGACAGGCTCAGCGACGGGAGGAGGGTCTACCTGAGAGACACCTGAGGGAGCAGGACCCTGAGGGGGAAGGGGGTCGAGCGAAGGGGGACCTGGTGCGAGGAACAGCGGCGGGGGAGGGAGGGGGGCAGTGCGGTAGGGGAAGAGACGGTAAAAGGGTACCGACTCGTCAAAGGTGACGTCCTGAGAGGCAAAGACACGGCGCGAGGTGGGGTGGTAAAACTGCCAGCCAGGCGTGTCAGGGACAAAGCCAAGGAAGACGCAGGGAACGGCACGGGAGGAGAGCTTGTCCGCGGACGTATCGCGAACAAGGGCTCGGCATCCCCAGACACGGAACACCGACGCATCGCCAACCTTCCCCGTCCAACGCAGTGTGGGCGAGGTCTCCGGAGCAGAGACACGGGGCCAAAGGTTGAGCTGATGCGCAGCGTATCGGACTGCAAACGGCCACAGGAAATGGGGGGCAGCCGCATGGATCATGGAGGTACGAGCGACCTCCATGACCAAACCAATGCGGCGCTCAGCAACCCCATTCTGCTGTGGGGAGTCCGGAAGAGTGAAAGTCTGGCGGATGCCGTGCTCCGCACAGTAGGCAGCCAGGAGGGCGGAGGAAAACTCACCACCCCTGTCAGAGTGCAGACGCAGGACGGGAAAGTCCGACTGGAACCGCTGGCGGAGCTGGAGACGAGCAGCGCGGATCCAAGGGATCAAAACATCAGGGACCTCACCCTTGGTGCACAAGGGGAAGACCGTGGTGTAGCGCGAGTAGTCGTCGACGACCAGCAGGAAGTACCGCTCGCGGCCCTGTCCCCGGACGCGGGCTGGGCCCCACACGTCCAGGTGAAGAGTCTGCAGTGGAGCCTCTGTGGGAGGGAACGAGGAGGAGTGAGGGGTGGCGCGCTGCCGCCCCTCGACACAGGGAAGACAGGGAGGAGCAGGCGAGGGTGGGAGGGGAGGGAGAACTCTGGGAAGACCAGAGACAAGGTAACGGGAGTGCATGCCACGAAGGCGCTGCACGGAGGGGTGACCAAGGCGGTGGTGCCAGAGGACGGTCTGGTGCGACAGGGAGCGACACGAGCAGGGAGCCGACAGCTGACCTGACGCAGACGCAGACGCAGCTACCTGAGGGGACTCAGTGGTCAGTGTGTACAGGTCGGACCCCGGCTGCCGAGTGAAGGTAGCCAGGTGGCGACCCGTCCGAGCACACGTACAGTGGGTCACTCGCTCATAGGCAGGGGTGAACTGGTGAACACCCCCGTCCTGGAGAGCAGAGCCCGCCACCAAGTTCGTAGAGAACGAGGGGAGGTAAAGACCCGACAAAGTGCCAGATGGAGCCGCAAGACAAGGGAGGACAGTGGAGGAGGTCGCAAGGACCAACGGGCCTCCAGAGGGGTCAGCAAGGGAGACAGCAACAGGCCGAGCGAGTGGCTCAAGGACTGTGCGGTCACGAAAGAAACAGCGGGAAGCACCTGAGTCCAGGGTGAAGGTGTGCAGTGCTGTAGCAGACTCAGTACCAGCAGACGCAGACGCACGAGCACCTAGCGCAGCAGCCTTACCAGTACCAATACCTGGGTCAGGCGGCACACTCAGGTAACAGTCACCCTCAGCACTAATAGTCAATGCATACATGGCAGCAAGGATAGCATCATAATCAAGAGCAAAGATATCAATTCCCTTCCTAAGCAGATCAGCCCAGCGAGGCAGCTCAGAGGCGTCAGGGAACTGCTCGCGCCAGGCGTCATCGAGGCGAGAGAAGCAGCGCTGTGCCGGGTGGAACCTCCCACAAGTCTGGCCAGCGCGATCACCTGTGCGGATGACGTACGAGCAAATGCCCCCACCCCCAAACCCCCCACGCTGAGAGTACCACTCACGGAGCTGCTGCGGCTGCCTCTGGCCACCTCCGAACCCCCCACGCTGCACCGCTCCACCGCGCCCGCCGCCACCCGATCCACCACCGCCACTACTGCCACCACCCTCCTCCACCACCCCCACCCCCACCACCCCCACCCCCACCACCGCCGCCACCACCACCACCACCCCCTGCGCCGCCACCGACCCCCCCACCACCCGCGCCACTCCCACTTCTGCCACCACCCCGCCCCCCCCCCCCACCCCCCCACCGCCGCCGCCCCCACCTCCACCTCCACCACCCCTGCCCCCCTTGCCCTTGCCGCTCTTGCGCCTCCCACTGGGAGTAGACGCAGTCCCGACTCCCTCAGCTCCGATGTAGTCGACAGCAGCAGCAGATGCAATGGAGGGGAGGAGGGGGGAGGGGGAGCACCCCTCAAAGAAGGGGGTGCGGGGGTCACCACGAGAGGCACCTACAGCTACAATACTCTTCTCAGCTGCTAGGAGTTCCTTCTCGAGGAGGTCGACAGTGAGGTCAGTGGGGGAGAGAGCGAGAAACTGGTCCCTGACAGTGCGAAGGGAGTCAGGGAGGCGGGTGACAAGGTGGTACAGTGTGAGGTACATCGGGGGGGGTTCTTGGCGAGGAAATTGGGGGGGAGCGCGGCACGGTAGCGGAGGTCACTGGTACGGAGGTGGGTGATGAGGTCAGCGACAGTGGCAAAGGCGGACAGGTCGGGAAAGAGGTAGGGCAGTGAGAGACGGCCTATAGTAGCAGTGGCAGGGGAGGAGTAGCGCGCGACTACGGCGTCGTACAGTTCCTTGGCGGTCTTATGCTGGCCAAAGTGCTCGCGCTCATCTAACGGCAGGTGGCTGCGAACGGCTAGGCGAGCATGAGCGTCACGGGTCTGCCACTGCGAGCGCAAGGTGCTATCAGCATCGGCAGCAGGAGCGGGAGCGGCGCCGGACGTGTGGTCATAAAGAGAAATATCGTCCTTGGCGGTGATCTGAAGGTAGAGGTGAAGGTCATCGAGCCAAACATCGAACTTAATCGGACGGCCCTCAGCGTCAAAGGTAAGCACAGTAGGACTGGCCATAGTAGCAGTAGCAGGAGGAGGAACAGTAGCAGCAGGAGCAGTAGCAGTAGGAGCAGTAGCAGGAACAGTAGCAGCGGGATTAGTAGCAGTAGGAGCAGTAGCAGGAACAGTAGATGCTGCAGGTGGGGCACAGCAGGGCGGCGCGGCTCGGTCAGGGCGGCGCAGCTCTGTCAGGGCGGCGCGGCTCAGTCAGGGCGGCGCGGCTCAGTGAGGGCGGCGCGGCTCGGTCTGGGTTGCGCGGCGCGGCTCGGACAGGCAGGGCGACGCGACGGCGGGCCTGGGCGTAGGCGGCGGCTGTGCGCGGGCTGCAGTTGCGCGCGGGCGGCGGTCTACAGCAGCGACGCGGCGGCCTACGGGCGGCTAGCGGGCTGCTCGTGGGCGGCTGCGGCGGTGCGGGCGGCTGCTGGGTCGCGCGCGTCAGAAACAGGCCGCGCACGGGCGGCTAGCGGGCTGCGCGGGCAAAAAACGGGCCGCGCGCGGGCGGCTAGCGTGCGACGCGGCCAAACAGCGGGGCGCTCGAGGGCGCCCTAGGAGCGAGGCGCACGAGGGCGCAAGAACGAGAAGGTGCACGAGGGCACTACTGACGGAACGGTGGGCCCGTAGAACGATCGGTCCTAGGTTCCTAACCTAGGCTCGTAATACCATGTCAGAATGAGAGAAGTGATTGTACTATGAGAGAATGGAGTACAAGTATGAAACCCTAACATTTTGTACCCCCTAAAGGCTAACTCACTGTAGCCTACAGAACAACAACAAATTTACAGTGTTTGACAAAGACCAAACGACATAAACCATTATCGAAGATGGTTGAAAGCAGGATAAATTCGAAATGCAACCGCGGGAAAAGGGATTCAAACAGTTACTGTGGCGCGTACCGTTTCCTAAGTAGCGGTATACATTGGCAAGGCCAGTGCCAAAAGTTTATAAATGGTGCATCATGGTTTCCCAATTACAACCTGCATGAGCGTCAAAAACAAGCGAAGGGACTCCACTCGGAAGGGGGAAATCCACCAAGTCAGAAGTTTATAGTTTGCCAGAAGTATACTGAAGGCGTTCCCCAGGTAGCCAATCGCCTAGTACATACTCCCCATAAAAAAGGTAGTGCGAAGCGACCACAGCGCAGCGCTTAGATTTAGGGCACGCACCTAGGAATCCGCCGAGGCGTAGCCCGCCAAATTCGCTTTCAATCGCCAGAAAATAGCGTAATTGCCACTCTCGTCACATGCCAGTCCATTGCCTCGCATCGCCCCTCGCTGCATCGCATTGGTTTCCGGGACTTTGTCGTTGCCTTCCGCTGACATGCCTTTCTCGCCTTCCCTCGTGGCCTCACCGAGCTGCCTCGCCGATCGTCTCGCAGCCTCGCCTCGTTTCCCATCGCGGCGTCGCTTCGCTGCACCACGATAAGTCCTCACGCCCTGTGGACAAGATCGCCGCGCCTCAATCTGCCGAACAGTGTGCTCTCGCTGGATCACAGTCGCCGCCTGCTCGTACGGCCTCGCTACCACCATTACCGCACTAGCCGAGGCAGCCGCAGCTGATATCGCGACACAGAACCGAAACGGCCTCCCGGTCCTACCAGCCCTTCTCCCCTTTCTGCCTCTCGATCTCCCCTTGCCTCCTCTCGATCTCCGCTTTCCGCCTTTCGATCTCCGCTTTCCACCTCTCGATCTCCCCTTTTCGCCTCTCGATCTGCCCTTTCCGCCTCTCGATCTCCTCTTTCCGCCTCACGATCTCCGCTTTCCGCCTCTCGATCTCCGCTTTCCGCCTCTCGATCTCCCCTTTCCGCCTCTCGATCTCCCCTTTCCGCCTCTCGATCTCCCCTTTCCGCCTCCCCATCTCCCCTTTCCGCCTCTCGATCTCCCCTTTCCGCCTCCCCATCTCCCCTTCACGCCTTCCAATCTCCCTTTTCGCCTCCCAGTCTCCCCTTTCCGCCTCCCAATCTCCCCTTTCCGCCTCCCAATCTCCCCTTTCCCGCCTCCCAATCTCCCCTTTCCGCCTCTCAATCTCCCCTTTCCGCCTCCCAATCTCCCCTTTCCGCCTCCCAATCTCCCTTTTCGCCTCCCAATCTCCCCTTTCCGCCTCCCAATCTCCCCTTTCCGCCTCCCAATCTCCCCTTTCCGCCTCCCAATCTAAACTTTCCGATTTCCCCTTTTCCGCCGCCCAATCTCTACTACCCGCTTCTCACTCTCCCTCCCTTCCCGCGTCTCAATCTCCCCTTCCCGCCTCCCGGTCTCCCCTTCACGCCTCTCATTTAAAAAATACCCGCCTCCCATTATCCCCATCTCCCCATCCCTGCATCCCACTCTCCCCATCCCTGCATCCCCATCTCCGCCTCCCATTCTCCCATTCCCTCCCTTCCCTCCCTTCCCTCCCTTCCCTCCCTTCTCTCCCTTCCCTCCCTTCTCTCCCTTCTCTCCCTTTCCTCCCTTCTCTCCCTTCTCTCCCTTCTCTCCCTTCTCGTCCTCCCCTCTCTCCCTTCTCTCTCTCCCTTCCCTCCCTTCCCTCCCTTCTCTCCCTTCCCTCCCTTCTCTCCCTTATCCCCTTCCCTCCCTTCCCTCCCCTCTCTCCCTTCTCTCCCTTCCATCCCTTCCCTCCCTTCCCTCCCTTCCCTCCCTTCTCTCCCTTCCCTCCCTTCTCTCCCTTCCCTCCCTTCTCTCCCTTCTCTCCTAAACCTCCCTTCCCTCCCTTCCCTCCCTTCTCTCCCTTCCCTCCCTTCTCTCCCTTCCCTCCCTTCTCTCATTTCCCTCCCTTCTCTCCTTTCCCTCCCTTCTCTCCCCCCCTACATTCTGCTCCATCCCTCAGGACTGCCCCCATCAGCGCCAACCCTCTCTGCGCCCCTTTTCTGTCTCCCCCTTTTGTTCTTCCCATCCCGCCTCCCCATCTCGCTATCCCGCCTCCCCATCACCCATTCCTCTCAGCTCCTCTCTTTCTGCCCTTCCGTCCTACCTCTTCATCCTCACCCATCCATCCCGCTTCCCCATCTCCTCAACCCCTCTTCCCTTCCCCTCCCTGCATCCCCATCTCCCCACCCTGCGTACCTCTCTCCCCTTCCTGCTTCCCCATATCCACTGCATATTTCCCCATCTCCCCTCCCTGCATCCCCATCTTCCCTCCCTGCATCCCCGTCTCCCCTCCCTGCATCCCCATCTCCCCTCCCTGCATCCCCATCTCCCCTCCCTGCATCCCCTTCTCCCCTCCCTGCATCCCCATCTCCCCTCCCTGCATCCCCATCTCCCCTCCCTGCATCCCCATCTCCCCTTCCTGCATCCCCATCTCCCCTCCCTGCATCCCCATCTCCCCTCCCTGCATCCCCATCTCCCCTCCCTGCATCCCCATCTCCCCTCCCTGCATCCCCATCTCCCCTCCCTGCATCCCCATCTCCCCTCCCTGCATCCCCATCTCCCCTCCCTGCATCCCCATCTCCCCTTCCTGCATCCCCTTCTCCCCTCCCTGCATCCCCATCTCCCCTCCCTGCATCCCCGTCTCCCCTCCCTGCATCCCCGTCTCCCCTCCCTGCATCCCCGTCTCCCCTCCCTGCATCCCCATCTCCCCTCCCTGCATCCCCATCTCCCTTCCCTGCATCCCCATCTCCCCTCCCTGCATCCCCATCTCCCCTTCCTGCATCCCCTTCTCCCCTCCCTGCATCCCCATCTCCCCTCCCTGCATCCCCGTCTCCCCTCCCTGCATCCCCGTCTCCCCTCCCTGCATCCCCATCTCCCCTCCCTGCATCCCCATCTCCCCCTCCCTGCATCCCCATCTCCCCTCCCTGCATCCCCTTCTCCCCTCCCTGCATCCCCATCTCCCCTCCCTGCATCCCCGTCTCCCCCTCCCTGCATCCCCGTCTCCCCTCCCTGCATCCCCATCTCCCCTCCCTGCATCCCCATCTCCCCTCCCTGCATCCCCATCTCCCCTCCCTGCATCCCCGTCTCCCCTCCCTGCATCCCCGTCTCCCCTCCCTGCATCCCCATCTCCCCTCCCTGCATCCCCATCTCCCTTCCCTGCATCCCCATCTCCCCTCCCTGCATCCCCATCTCCCCTTCCTGCATCCCCTTCTCCCCTCCCTGCATCCCCATCTCCCCTCCCTGCATCCCCGTCTCCCCTCCCTGCATCCCCGTCTCCCCTCCCTGCATCCCCATCTCCCCTCCCTGCATCCCCATCTCCCCTCCCTGCATCCCCATCTCCCCTCCCTGCATCCCCTTCTCCCCTCCCTGCATCCCCATCTCCCCTCCCTGCATCCCCGTCTCCCCTCCCTGCATCCCCGTCTCCCCTCCCTGCATCCCCATCTCCCCTCCCTGCATCCCCATCTCCCCTCCCTGCATCCCCGTCTCCCCTCCCTGCATCCCCGTCTCCCCTCCCTGCATCCCCGTCTCCCCTCCCTGCATCCCCATCTCCCTTCCCTGCATCCCCATCTCCCCTCCCTGCATCCCCATCTCCCCTCCCTGCATCCCCTTCTCCCCTACCTGCATCCCCATCTCCCCTCCCTGCATCCCCGTCTCCCCTCCCTGCATCCCCGTCTCCCCTCCCTGCATCCCCGTCTCCCCTCCCTGCATCCCCATCTCCCTTCCCTGCATCCCCATCTCCCCTCCCTGCATCCCCATCTCCCCTTCCTGCATCCCCTTCTCCCCTCCCTGCATCCCCGTCTCCCCTCCCTGCATCCCCGTCTCCCCTCCCTGCATCCTCCCTAAACCCTTCCAAAGCCTGCTTCTCCTCTCTTCTCCCCTGCCCCCTCCTGCCTCCCTTCATTTCCCCCCCTGATTCCCCTCATTTCCCCCCCTGATTCCCCTCATTTCCCCCCCTGATTCCCCTCATTTCCCCTCCTCACTTGTGTCATCACAGCCTATGGTTTGAATACTCCCCCTCTCCCCAACTACCGTTCCGGTATTTCAGTGTCCAGTTGCTCTGAAGATCTGATTCAACACGGGCTCACGCCATCATCTCAAATCAAATCAGCTAGAGAAAGGGTCACTAGTACAGTATTCATCTTAGAGAGAACATATTTCTTTCTACCCGAATTTGATGTGACACCTTTACTGTCCATGCATCTTGGATGGATGATCTGCACTGCTAAAATCGTGGTAGCGCATAGCGGGCTTTGTGACGAATATCTCTAGCAGTAACACACTCAACGCACACGAGACTACACAGAAGTTGTGAGCACCATCCACTACTAGCTGCCCCTCTGCTTGCATCTGCTGCCCTGTTTCAACACTACCGTACCAATCACGGTAGCATAGTAGGCAGAAACGATTGTGTGGATCCAATGGGGACGTGCTATGAGGCGGAGGAGAAACAGACCCTGAATACACGCAAGTGATGTCAGAATGTGATGGTTGTCTAGCCTGCAGTGGGGTACTCTATAGCGAGTACAGCCCTTCTAGGGTTTGCATATATGTATCCCTATGCTTGTTAGTCAAAACCCCTTCTTGCCTGTTTCTCGTTTTGGCCTAGCATTTTGACATGCTATCAGAGCGGGTCGACCCTCCTGGGTCGATCCTGTGGGTGGTCCCACCAGAAGCTTCCGCTGTTGTTTCCTGCTGTTTCCTGCCTGCCGCGCGCTCCGGGCGCGCAGCGATTTTTTCTTCCCGCCGCGCGCCCTGGGCGCGCGGCGGTTTTCTGCCCCGTCACTCGGCGCGTCGCCCCCGGGAGGCGCTGCGACGGGCGACGGGGACCCGCGCGTCGCCCCCCGTCGCCAGTAGTGGCCTGCGCGCGGCCCGTACAGCCGGCGCGCGGCCCGTACGGGCTGCGCCAGGCCCGCGCGCGGCCCGTACGGGCTGCGCCAGGCCCGCGCGCGGCCCGTACGGGCTGCGCCAGGCCCGCGCGCGGCCCGTACGGGAAGCGCCAGGCCCGCGCGCGGCTCGGGCCGCCTGCGCGCGGTTCGGGCGGCTATGCCAGGCCCGTGGGCGGCCCGTTCCTCGCTGCCCCTGCCCTCCCCACTGTCCCCCGTGCTTCTACTGGCGCCCCACCCCTCCTACAGCCCGTTCTCCTGAATTAGGGTTTGGGGGTGAGGGGTATGGGGGTGAAGCCACTGAGTGCCGTTCCCCTCCTCCTCCTCCTTCTCCGTCTCCCACTGCTGCAGCTGCCGCTGAGGGGGGTGGGTGTGTGGGAGCCGAGGGAGTGGCGCTAGGGGGTGTAGTGTGAGCGGTGCTAGGGGAACAGCAGGGGGTGTGTAAAAAGGGGGTGGGACAGCTGGGGGAAGTTGAGAGGAGGCCGTCGACTTGTCGTCCGCAGCGCCTGAAGTCCAGGGAGCCACGACCCCCTGTGGCCTGAGTAGTCCGGGGCTCTGCGCCCGGTAGCTACAGTGTGTGCACTCCTGGGAGCACAGCGAGCCAGCTGCGACCCCCTGTCGCCGTGTAGTCCGGGTTTAGCCTGGTAGCGTCAGTGCGGCGTACTCCTGCTGCCTGTGTGTCTGCAGCTTCAGCCGTCGCCTCTCATCTTCTTGCTCCCACAGTTTCTCCTCCTCCTCACTTGCCCTCTGTGATAGCCTCTAGCTTTGCTTATAATTGTGAACTATTGCTCTGTCTGCTTGTTATGTTGATTGTACCCCACTTTGACTATGGGGGTGTGTCAGAATGTTATGTTTGTCTAGCCTGCAGTGGGGTACTCTATAGCGAGTACAGCCCTTCTAGGGTTTGCATATATGTATCCCTATGCTTGTTAGTCAAAACCCTTCTTGCCTGTTTCTCGTTTTGGCCTAGCATTTTGACAGAATACACGCAAGTGATGTCACCATATGCACAAGAACTAGGGGGCGGAAGGGAAAATTGAGTGAGGGGGAAGGGGAGGGCATGCAGGGAGATGTGAAGGGAGAAGGGATCGGGAAGGGAAGGGTGGGGCAGGGAAGGGAAGGGCTGGGATGGGAAGCGCATGGAAGGAAGGTCAGGGAAGGGAAAAGCAGGAAAGAAGGGGATGAATTGGGTGGACTGGTGTCTTGTTCATGTAGTAACGCACGCAACAACCTATTAGAATCTAGCAGCAGGAAATGACTGAACTAACAGGATGCAGGAGTACAAGTAGTAAACCCTAATTGGGTTGTACCCCATATGGGCTACCCCACTACAGCCTAGACAATATGCAGCACATATAGTTTGACACACCCCCATAGGCAAAGTGGGGGAGAACAAGAGGTCACACGACCAGTCAAGAGAAGCAAAACAAGCTCAGGGTGGATCACAACGTCACCACGCATTCCGAGCACAAGCAAAGGGCCACAGGGCCAGTTCACATGCAGAGATATATATGCAGCAATAACAGTACAGTGATGGCTACCTAGCAAGAGCCAGCATGCATATATATATATATGTACAGATCACAGTACAAGCAGAGACTACAGCAAGTGTGGAAACGTAGGCACAAGGCCTAACAGAGTACAAAAACGCTGATGATCACCAGACGGAAGTGCCTTGGTGAATATATCAGCAGTGTTGGCCCGAGTGGCCATGTGGCGAAGACGAAGCTGGCCTCGCTGCTGCAACTCTCGAGCCAGGAAGTACCGCAGAGCAATGTGCTTCGTTCTGTGCTCCAGTCTGTGCTCCTCACACAAGGCAATGGCGGCCTTGTTGTCAACGTACAGCACTGGAGGAGAACGAGGCTGCTCTCCCAAGTCAGTCAGCAGGTAGGTGAGCCAGCGTAACTCCTGTGCAACCATGGCTGTGGCGTAGATCTCAGCCTCACAACTGGAGCCGAGAACTGAAGACGAGCGTGTAGAACGCCACGAAACTGAACCAGAGCCAAGGCTGAAGGTGTAACCCTGTGACGACCGCTGAGTAGCCAGGTCGTCAACCCAAGAAGCGTCTGAGTGTCCAGTGAGGACAACTGGGCTCGTCCCTCCAAGCACTAGCCCCATGCCTGATGTGCTGCACAAGTAACGCAGTACCCTCTTAGCAGCAGCCATGTGCTCAGGTCGGTGCCGACCAGGAGCCACGTAGCGAGCCAGGAGACCAAGAGGGTACGCGAGGTCAGGTCGAGTGCAAGTCATCAGGTACATGAGGCAGCCGACTAGCTCTGGGTAAGGACCACTCGGCTCTACGGACTCGTCCGAAGGTGGAGCTGAGAGCGTGTGACCTGTAGCCAGAGGAGTGGCCTGTGCTGAAGACCAGGTGAAGCCGAAGCGCTGAAGGACCTGCTGCACCATGTGTGACTGAGTCAAGGTGATGGTGCGACGTGCTCTGTCTCGGGTGATCTGCAAGCCAAGGTAGCTGCGCAGCTCACCCAAGTCTGTGCACGTGTGTCTCTTCTGCAGCTCCGACTTCACGTGGGCGAGAGCCTCAGTGTCAGCAGTGGCAAAAACCAAGTCGTCGACGTACACGAGGATGTAGAACGGCGGCAGGGAAGTGTCGGTGCGCAGAAACAGCGACGGGTCGGCAGTAGAAGGCGCAAACCCAAGAGCCGCAAGCGTAGTCCTCAGTGTGTCGTGCCACTCACGTGGCGCCTGGCGGAGACCGTAGACCGGCCGCCGGAGGCTCCACTGGGTACCAGGAGGGAACGACCCAGTGAAGCCCGGGGGGCGGCGCAGCCAGATCTCCTCGTGCAGGCTACCCTGCAAGAAAGCTGTGCTGAATTCAAGACAGTGAAGCTCGTAGTCACGGTGAGCAGCAACGTGCAGCAGCACCCGAAGAGTGGTCATCTTCGGGGTGGGGGAGAAGGTCTGGAAGAAGTCAACTCCCTCTCGCTGACTGAAGCCTCGAGCCACGTAACGCGCCTTGAAGACAGGCGGAGAACCCGGCGGCCGCTTCACCCTGAAAATCCACATGCCACTGACGATGTTCGCCCCAGGTGGGGGAACCTCGTCAACGTAGGTGCCTGTGGACTTCCAGGAAGCCATCTCTGCGTCCATGGCTGTCTGCCACTGAGAGGAGTAGGGACCCTCTATCGCCTCTGCGTAAGAGCGCGGAGTCGGGATGTCTGGTGCATCCGGGTCTCCCTCAGGGGCAAGTAGCGAGGACACAAGATGAGGTAAAGCAGCAGCAAGACACTGGAACTCCTCCTGCCTGTCCTCAAGGACGTCCGTGCTAAGAGCACACTCACCCCCGACGAACGGAGGACAGACAGACTCAGACTCAGCAACAAGACTAGCGGCGTAGTCTAGACGACAGGCAGCAGCAAAGTCAACAAGCTCAGCGACCAAGGCAGACGCAGCAGTAGACTCAAACGACGGGTCAGTGACAACAGTGGCTAGGAGACGCGTGACAGTAGGGTGCTCAGTACGAAACCTGTCAGACTCAGGGTCCGGAACGGCAGGCAGAGAGGACGCAAGGGGAGACGGCAGAGGAACAGGCTGCAGAGCAGAGGAAGGACGACGGACTACGAGGCGTGCGCTGGGGACAGCCGGCTGACGCGAACGAGGAACACGACGACCGGTACGACCAGGACGAGCAGGCGAGACAGGACGCGACGCAGGCTCACGACGCTCAGCAGGACTACCAGTCTGCTCAGTGTAAGGAGAAGGAGTAGGCAGCGGTGAGCCAGGCTGTAACGGAAGACTAGTAGACGACGGGAGAGTAACAACCTGACGAAGAGCAGAGTCAGGCGGCGGCAGAGACGACGGAGACGGCGGAGCGAAGAACAGCCGTGTCGGCGCAGCTGCACCAGTACCGGCAGCTCCAGCAGCTCCAGTGCCTCCAGCAGCTCCAGTACCTCCAGCAGCTCCCGTACCTCCAGCAGCTCCAGAAGCTCCAGTCCCAGGGTC